TTGTGCCATTTTGGTCTCACTGTTGGACACACAGTTGATTACACAGTTCAAGAACATGCAATGTAAGTCATGAAGCACAAGCAAGTGCTGCTTTAAAGATGCATTCCCATTTTCAACATCACAATAACACATTGAAACAACAGCTTCAAACAGTGACTGAGAGGCTGCTCCTTAACTGATATCCACTGGACAGCTGTGAGCAGAAAACTAACAGTGATTTCTTTGCCATTTTTTGTAATTTCTTGGGCAAAGAAAATAATATCTAAAATATTCAAAAAGTATTTACTCAACAGATTCTTTTTAATAAACTGAATTACTCTTTTAGGGAAATTTAAGTTACACATACTATGGCAGCTCTACTGTAATTTTCAGTTAGCTCTGCTAAATACATTCTGTTTGACCATAGAAAGCGTAATCATTGATAAGTGAGTGACTTACTGTTTTAATTTGTGAAAAAGAAATCCAATAATAGCAACACACAGTAAAAGAAGTGCTGAGAGGATCAGATATGGCCCTGTAGTCTGTTTACATTCTGCGAATAAGGCATTATTAAAGTTATCATCAACAAAAACAGGAAGAGAGGAACTAATGTGACAGATGTTAAATATAGTCGACTAATAGCATCATGTTCAAGCAAAGCAGTGTTTCTAACCTGCAGGTGAGCAGTGATGAGTAGCCACAGAGTGGAACAGCTGAGAGGAGCAGCCCAGCCTATTGGTGCTGATACACTGCAGAGTGTCTTTAAGTGACTGATGCAGGTAGATGAAACTCCTCAGGCCCGTGCGGCCCACAAACTCCTCCCTGATAGATGGGTCTTCAGAGGGTGGGACAGGTTGTCCAGACAGACGCCACTCCAGTTTAGGAACAGGACGTCCATGAACCTCACAAACACACATGATCCCACCTTCACTGCTGCTGTTACAGTGGAAGAAGAGATCGATCTGAGGAGCATCTGAGAGAACGACAGAAGACAAAGAGACAGAGAGAGCGAGAGAGAGAAAGAGAGAGAGAGAGAGAGAGAGAGAGAGAGAGAGAAAGATAAAGTTTCCCAGACTTGATCCCAGATTGTGAATTTTCCTCAATAATAAACGCACAGGGCCAGATGGAAATAGGAATGAGTGCAATGCTGTATATGTCTTGATGCAACTGCAATATTGGCTAACAATGTGCCTGAATTAAAAAACCCTCACACACCAAGCCTTTTAAGAACATCTGATCCTGATAGTTTAAACAGCGCTGAAGAGAACCGAGAAGAGCCGATGGCCACTGTCTGCACATTTAGCACTAGTTGGTTTTCATCAGCGCAGTTTGGAGCAAAGCAGTAAATGGCAAGTAGCAACATGCAAGCATTGTCAGTGGTCACTTTAATCATTTTTGCTATTCAAATGTCCAAATTTCTAAAAGAGTAGTATTTAAGTGGCGTATTCCCAATCAGAGAGTCTTTTAATATTGTTGTTAATAAACATGAACGGACGAGAACTCATACTTAGTCATTTCATGTTTTTTCTTCCTCGTTGGGTCAGTGTGTCTGGGCACTAACATTCAAATGACAAAAACTGCAGCTTATCACACAAACTGTGCATAGCCCCACCCACTAGCTGCTCACTCTTGAGGCACAAGGTTTGAAAAGAACAGTGTAAAATTGGAGCCATCAACAAAACTCGACACAGTAAATGAAAGTGCAGGGATGACGAGATAGCGGTGTTAATAAATGAAGTTTTTCCTACCAAAAGATTCTACAAATAGAGTTTGAAAATACAGACTATGCATGGATATTGTGGCCACATCATGGCATATTATTATACACATTATGCCACGTCTTCTCACGTACAAACATCTTGTTCTGAGAGTTTAAGCAGTGTCACTTTGAACACGGCCCTGGCCATGTTTCATGCAGCCTCCCACAATATCCACGGCCCTCCATCAACCCAATGTAGCTGTGTCATAAAGCCAAGGATGCTTTCAAAGAAAAGCTGCATTTCTTGATGTCACTGAAGACTGTCCCATTTTGTAAGATGCTTCAAATGAGGCCAATTCTGAGAGATGGCAGGCAATGGCAGGATGCTTTGTAATGAATGGCAGACCATGTAATGAAGTGTAAAATTTAAATGAATGTTTTTAAACATTAGATTTAAACGTGTCATGTTATTTACATTGGTAAACTGCAATGTGTCGGTCAAGCCTACTCAGAACATCGTGAATGTGCCTGAGTGAGTAGTTAAGAGGAGCTTTTGTATATCAGTGCTAGCAAGGTCTCCTCTACCCCGTCTGCAGCCTTCATTTTGAGACATTCCATATTTATGTGGGAGAGAAGCACATTTTGCGTTTTCTCCGAGTACACGGCCCATAAACTGTGTGGTTACACTTACATGCCTGTTTCATTCTTATGGCACAGGCAGAACGAGTCTAATTTGTGTCTCAAACTGCTGCTAAAGGCTCAGCATGTCAGGCCATCAATACTTCCCTTTCATCAGTTCTGAGCAGTTTTCTTTCATGGCTTTGTCACTAAACCTTGTTCAATGAATATAATATTTCTGCATTATGGTCTCTTGAGGAGTTTCTCCATCTTGCCCAAGATCAGAAACTTCAGTCTAATATCTATAGTGCCAGGTGCTGCTCATGACTAAACGTTATTCTAAACACTGCCACAACATGCTAATCACTATTTCATGATGCATTTCCTGTGATTTATCTGATCAAACGTTGAGACTAAAATAAACAATGACAAAAAAAAACTAGAGGCTTGGTGTCTAGGCAGCTCACACTCCACTCAGTATTGCAATGCGAACATTTTCACTTTACCTTTGATAACATTGTCAAACTTTTGTGGTTTGTGTTTCTTTCTAAAGGGCACTGATGCACAAAAGCTAAAAAAACATTTTAAAAAGTGCACTTTTATTTAGATGTTTTGCTTGCTAACATAAACATGGTAAGATAGGGCAACATGACAATAATTATTGTTATCATGATATTTCATGTCACAGTATGTCGTTGATACCACAGTACTTGGACAACTTCAAGTTTATTTACAAAGACAGCATAATTAGTCCTGTTTGAATGGATTTAGTGCAGCACAGTAAGTGAATGTTGAGTACAAATCATTGGATTCATACTTTTTGCTTATATGCATTAAAAGTGACATTACTTTTTCTGTTGCAACTTAGGCAAGGTAAGTTTATTTGTATAGCACCTTTCATACATCGCTGTCATTCAGTACAAAACAATAGATTTAAAAGAGAAAAATCATTAAATTAAAAACTAATTAGAAATTAAATTAGGATAAAAAAATCAAACTGAACAATAAATATCATAAAAATATGAAAACTTCTTGACATATTCCGATATGGCATTTTTGCCATTTTTCCCCACCTCTGATAAGATAAATTCACCCACCTGTCAATCACCAATAATTCTCTTATAATATCATATAAGCAGAACGTGCATGTGTGTGTTTGTGTGTTATGCTACCAGAGGCGCATCTCTACATAAGGGATTTATATATATATATATATATATATATATATATATATATATATATATACATACATACATCATCTAAACCACTTATCCTTCTGGGTCGCGGTGGGGTGCTGGAGCCTATCCCAGCTGTCATTGGGCGGAAGGCAGGATACACCCTGGACAGGTCGCCAGTCCATCGCAGGGCAGACAGACAGACATACACAATCACACACTCACTCACACCTAGGGGGAATTTAGCGTGTCCAATTAGCTTAACTGCATGTTTTTGGTCCACACAGTCCACACAGAAATGACCCCCGTCGCCCAGCCGGGAATCGAACCCAGACCATTCTCGCTGTGAGGCAACAGCGCTACCCACTGCCGCCACCGTGCTGCCCTAAATAATATATAAATAAATAAATTTCTAAATAAATTTATTTATTTATTTTTTTTCCTGAACTAACGTTGTTGCATGTTTGCTACACATGACAATGGTAGGGCTGTCCAATACATTTCAAATATTTTCCTGTATCTATCTACTTCTCCTAGCAGTCTTCGTTTGGTGAGCGCGGGGGCGGCCCGTCAGCATTTATCTAACCAAGTGAGCAGTTAAAAAACACTCTGCGCATGTTCAACACGTTTTCAATAACCAGCTGTGGGGCACGATCATGTTGGCCTCATGCTGAGAGCAGCCAATAAATAATAACAAATGTATATACATCAAGATGTTTAGTAAACGTTGTTTATGGTATGGGCGTTGCTATGCAGCTAGCCATTGTTCCTCATCAGTTGTGGTAGCCACTCCTAAAAACGAGGCAATATAATGAGTCAAGTCGAATGGTACCTTGCCATTAGAGCAGAAATTAGAGATTAAATGTTTGGGACACACCAGCTAGGGGATTCAACATTATACAGTCTGGAAAGGACAAAAACTGCTCCTTCAATCCAGAGTGGTTCAAGAGAAAAGCATAACTAACTGCAAATGTGTCTAAAATCTACACTCCTTGCCTGCTCTTTTCATGCACTTGCTATCCTACCAGTTGAATTCATTCATGGACTGGTGGACAAAAATGTTTTTGCCCAGATGAAAGAAATATATGCTATATATGAATGATGTACTGGAATGAAAATTCTTGACAGAAGCTGAAAGCTGAAAAAAATGAACATAATGCTGATGATGCTTCAACTGTGATAATGGCCACATTGGAAAAGAGAACTGACAGAGAAACAAAGTCTAAGTACATTTTAAACAGTTTGCTAAATAATATTAAATAATATGTGAATATAATGTTTTAACTATTTTTACTTTTAAAACAATGGATTATTGTCTCTGCTGGAGGAAAGTGACATAATATCTGAGAAAAATTCTCAGGATTTTCTGTACAGCTTGAGTATCCCGATAGTTAAGATGAGCTAAAAATTATGAAAATACTTCAGGTTTCCCACAAGCATCTTAAGTTGAATGGTCGGAATATCTGTGCATCCCTAATATAAGTATTTGCAGAAGCAGAGCAGCTAAAGCGTTGTAGCACTGTACTCACACTGAATGTCCAGCTGCACAGATGAGTTTTGAGCTCCATGTTGGTTCTGAGCTCTACAGTAGTATAAACCACTGTGTGCATCATCAGTCTCAGTGATGGTGAAAGAGGGTCCGGTCTCTATCTGCTCTCCATTCTCTCTGTACCAGGTGTAGTTCACTGCTGGGTTTCCATCACTGCTGCAGTTCAGAGACCCTGAACTGCCCAACATCACTGGACCAGAAGGAGACACTGATACAGATGTGTTCTTAGGAGCATCTGAGGGAGGAGAGAGGACAGAACAGATTAACAGTAGACACTTCATCCTCCCAGCTCAGCTGGGCCTCCTGTGTCCTACGTCTCGTCCACTGGAGACCCTGCAGCATTGGCCTCCAAAACTGTCAGAACACTGATTAAAGGTGATATAAGTCTTTTATTGACACAAACTCTGCTTTCCTTTTCCTGACTCCACACCATGTTCTCCTCCTAACTCAACCCAGGTTCTCCTCTTAACTCCAGCCTGGCTTCTCTACCTAACTCCAACCCTGTGTCTTCTCTTTACTGTGGTCCAGCTTCATCTCCTAACTGCGGCCTAGCCTCTCCTTCTTACTCCACCCCAGCTTTTCCTCCTGACTCCATACCAGGTTTTCCTACTAATTCCACCCTGGCTTCTCTTTCTGCCTCCACCTGGCTTCTCCTCCCTTCTCTGGCCAACCTTCACCTTCTGTCCCCAGCCCAACTTCTCTTCCTAACTTCAGCCGAGCTTCTTCTCCAAACTCTGGCCCAAACTCTTCTCCTCCTAATTTCAGCCTCGCCTCTCCTCCCAGGCCGGTCTTCACCCTCTAACTCCACCCTGGGTCTCCTCCTCACTCCAACCTGGCATTTCCTCCTATGTCTGGTCATTATCATAAATATTTAAAATGTATCTGAAAATGAGTAACTATACACCAGCAAAAAGTCAAAAGTAGAGAGTGAGTAGGATGAGGCCTTAGAATAGTGAATGGAAATTTCATAAACAAAGCAATTGGAGCTTCACCATTGTACTCACACTGAATGTCCAGCTGCACAGATGAGTTTTGAACTCCATGTTGGTTCTGAGCTCTACAGTAGTATAAACCACTGTGTGTATCATCAGTCTTGTTGATGGTGAGAGAGGGTCCGGTCTCTACCTGCTCTCCATTCTCTCTATACCAGTTGTAGTTCACTGCTGGGTTTCCATCACTGCTGCAGTTCAGAGATACTGACCTGCCCATCACTGGACCAGATGGAGACACTGATACTGATGTGTTCTTAGGAGCATCTGAGGGAGGAGAGAGGACAGAACAGATTAACAGTAGACACCACTTTACCTCTCACCACTTCATCCTCCCAGCTCAGCTGGGCCTCTTGGGTCCCAAGTCTCATCTACTGGAGACCCTGCAGTATTGGCCTCCAGAACTGTCAGAACACTGATTAAAGGTGATATAAGTCTTTTATTGTCTCAAAGTCTTCTTTCCTCTTCCTGACTCTACACCATGTTCTCCTCCTAACTCCTTACTGGGTTCCCCTCTTGACTCTGGCCTGGCTTCTTCTCTTGACTCCACTGTGACTTCACCTCCTGACTCCACTCCAGGTTCTCCTTCTAATTCCAGCCTAGCCTCTCCTCTTAACTCCAGTTTGGCTTCTCTTCCTAACTCCACCCTGCTTCTCCTCCTCTCTGTGGCTCAACGTCTTCTATCGCCTGTCTAACTTCATCTCCTAACTCCAGCCTAGCTTCTCCTTCTTACTTTACCCCAGCTTTACCTCCTGACTCCATATCAGGTTTTCCTCCTAACTCTACCCTGGCTTCTCCTGCCTTCTCTGGCCGAGCTTCACCGTCTGTCCCCAGCCCAACTTCTCTTCCTCACTCCAGCCCAGTGTCACGCATTCGGCAATTGTTCGCTTGGTATTTTTTGAATACACTTTGGCCTAGAGTGATTTAAACTGCTGCTCTCGTTATTTTTTATCCGCGAGCGTCTGTTTTTTTTCTGTCAACGCGTTACACCCAGCTTCTCCTTCTAACTTCAGCAAAACTTCTCCTTTAAACCCTGGCCCAACCTCTTCTCCTGGTTCCACCTAACTTCTCCTTCTAATTCCAGTCTGGCCTCTCCTCTTAACTCCAGTTTGGCTTCTCTTCCTAACTCCACCCTGCTTCTCCTCCTCTCTGTGGCCCCCTAGCTTATCCTTCTTACTTCACCCCTGCTCCACCTCCTGACTCCATACCAGGTTTTCCTCCTAACTCCACCCTGGCTTCTCTTTCTGCCTCCACCTGGCTTCTCCTCCCATTTCTGGCCGAGCTTCACCTTCTGTCCCCAGCCCAACTTTTCTTCCTAACTCCAGCCCAGCTTCCCCTTCTAACTTCAGCAAAACTTCTTTAAGCCCTGGCCCAACCTCTTCTGCTGATTCCACTTAAATTCTCCTCCTAGTTTCAGCCTGGCTTCTCCTCCTTGGACTTTCTTCACCCTCTAACTCCACCCTGGCTTCTCCTTCTCACTCCAGCCTGGCATTTCCTCCTATGTCTGGTCATTATCATAAATATTTAAAATGTATCTGAAAATGAGTAACTATACACCAGTGAAAAAGTCAGAAATAGTGAGTGAGTAGGATGAGGCCTTAGTATAGTGAATGGAAATTTCATAAACAAAGCAATTGGAGCTTCACCATTGTACTCACACTGAATGTCCAGCTGCACAGATGAGTTTTGAACTCCATGTTGGTTCTGAGCTCTACAGTAGTATAAACCACTGTGTGTATCATCAGTCTTGTTGATGGTGAGAGAGGGTCCGGTCTCTATCTGCTCTCCATTCTCTCTGTACCAGGTGTAGTTCACTGCTGGGTTTCCATCACTGCTGCAGCTCAGAGACCTTGAACTGCCCAACATCACTGGACCAGATGGAGACACTGACACAGGTGTTGGGCAGCTCAGAGACCTTGAACTGCCCAACATCACTGGACCAGATGGAGACACTGACACAGGTGTTCCTGGGAGCATCTGAGGGAGGAGAAAGGACAGAACAGATTAACAGGTGACACCACTTCACCTCTCACCACTTCATCCTCCCAGCTGAGCTGGGCCTTCTGGGTCCCAGGTCTCGTATACTGGAGAACCTGCAGTATTGGCCTCCAGAACTGTTAGAACACTGATTAAAGGTGATATAAGTCTCCAGATGGAGACACTGACCCCGATGTGTTCTTAGGAGAATCTGAGAAAGGAAATAGAGAGCTGCATATAGTATATACAAACCTCAGGTCCAAAAAAGTTGGGACAGTTTTATGAAATGAAAATAAAACAAATAGTAATGAGTAGTAAATTCTGGTTAACCTGTATTAAAATTGAAAAATAAAAAAAAACCACAATACTTAATGATTTACCTGATGAATTTTAGTGTTGCTTTTGTTTTTTATAAATATTTTTTATAAATACATTAACACATATAAAAACTTGGAGCATGTTTACCAGGAGCATGTTTACTACTGTGTTATATCACCTTTCCTTTTAACAGCACTTACTAATCGTTTGGGAACTGAAGACACCAACTGATGCAGTTTTGAAAATCCAATTTTTTGCCATTCTTCCAGTCCTCAGCTGGGCGACCATACCTACGTACTTACATCATTGTTACATCATTACAGCCATGCTTTTGTAACACATGCAGATTGTGGCTTGGTGTTGTCATGTTGAAATAAACATTGATGTCCTTGAAAAAGACATTGTGTAGAATGTGTGTATATATTTCAGCATTAATAATAATAACAATAATAATAATAATACTTTTGTATGTACAGAGCTCTTTTTTCACAGTGTTTCACAGACAGGTGATAAAGCTCAAAAGAAGAAGAAGAAATTATGAATATTAAATTAAAATAATACAAGATAATGGCATATATCAAATTACAAATATAAATACCAAACAGAGATTTTTAATTAAATGTTCAATTAAAGAAATATGTTTTCATGTTTCTTAAAAGTGTGCACTGAAAATTTTAAAAGTAGCCAGTGCAGTTCTTGTGATATGATATGACTGTGATATGATCTCTCTTTTTTTGTTTTTGTTAGGATCTGTGCTGCTGCGCTCTGTATGAGCTGTAGAGGCTGCATTGTCCTCTAAAGAAACCCAGTAAGAAGAGCATTACAGTAATAAACTGTGCTTGTAACAAATGCATGAACATGTTTCTCTGCATTACTCTGAGATAGAAAAGGCTGAAATGTAGTAATATTTCTTAAATGATAAAAAGCTATGAAAACCTACGCACTGACTCTGTTTACATGCAGGACAAAACAAAGCTCAGATTACATACAGGTTTTGTACTTCAGGTTTGGGCAAAAGGGGCAAAAGAACTGAGCTTCTTATAAAGCATCTTTCTCTGAATTTTAGTGCCAAGAATCAGTATTTCAGTGTTTTCTTCATTTAGTTGTAAATGTTGAGGAACGTTGTTCTTAAACTGTTGGATTATGGATGCATTTTTTTGGCAAAGTGTTGAGCCTCAGTCGATCCTTGCTAGGCATTTCCTAGATGCTTCTATTATACTTAAGTGTGGTCACTGTAACTATCTGTTTTCTTCTCAAAAGCCAGCCCTAGTTTAATAACCAAAAGGTGATAACAACTCCAAAAACTTGAGGTAATGGACATTTACTAAAAGGGTTGACTCTGATTCCCTCTTTACAGAACTAAGACACTATATAACCTTTAATACTCTCAAAGGACACAGCTGTGCTTTTCTCAGACCTTCTCTCTCTGCCTTGTCACAGGGTCATAAAACCCCACCAACATTCTTCTCACTGAGACAACTTCTCTGTTGCCACTCTTGCCACTACAACATCAAACTCAACCTTTTCATCAGAGACTGCGATATGATTTTATCATTCTGCTACCTTGTTAGTTTGTCATTAGACCCATACTTGCCAACGTGCTGGTTAGATAGATTTTTCCATGCTCCATTTATCTTGTTCATTTATACCAATTAATAAACAAGCTAGCAGGTGATTTATCATTTCTGCCTGAAAGATCTCTGACCTCAAATAAACCTTCCCCCTTTATTAGCTATATATGAGATCAAACCAAGTTGTGTTTTGGTACAGGAGTAAAATAGGTTAAATAGGTCACATGACTATTATTGCTCTTTAAACAACTCATATTTTACTACACTAAGTAGGATTGCATAACCTATTTTTAATCTTAAATTTCCACTGTTACAGTTTTTTGGAACGTGCTCTTTGCATGAATTTCAGAATGGGTGTATATTAATGAAAAAAATCAACTTTAAGTAAAACATTAAACATCTTGCCTTTGTATTTTTGTTTAACTACAGATCAAAGTGCATTTACAAATCACTGCATTTGATTTTTATTTGCATTTCATATACTGTCCCAATTATTTTGGAATTGATGTTTGTATATTAGGAGGCCGCATCTACACCCTATTAGGTTGGTCAGTATTGAGGGGATTTGCATTAGATTTTCTGTCTCTGAACTGGACAGTGTGGAGAATCTGAGTACAGATTTGCTGGATGAAGTCTTATGGACACAGTTTAGTCTCACTCACAGCTCTTGAACACAAAACTGAGGTTGTGTCTCCACAAAAAAGGACAGAGAGAGGCTTCAAGAGTGCAAACACTGACATCATACATAAAGAGCCAAATTACACAGTAATTGCCAATTTGGTTGGTGACAAAAAGTTGACTAGTTATTGATTCCACAACAAACTGCAGTACATATTGTGACATTTATCAAAATTTGTTTAATGAAGGCAAGCAAACCAAATTAGCAAATATAATATTCCAGCTTTGTACTCACACTGAATGTCCAGCTGTACAGATGAGTTTTGAGCTCCATGTTGGTTCTGAGCTCTACAGTAGTATACACCACTGTGTGTATCATCAGTCTCAGTGATGGTGAGAGAGGGTCCGGTCTCTATCTGCTCTCCATTCTCTCTGTACCAGGTGTAGTTCACTGCTGGGTTTCCATCACTGCTGCAGTTCAGAGTCACTGAACTGCCAAACATCACTGGACCAGACGAAGACACTGATACAGATGTGTTCCTGGGAGCATCTGAGGGAGGAGAGAGGACAGAACAGATTAACAGGAGACACCACTTCACCTCTCACCACTGTTCTTAGGGGGATCTGAGAGAAGAACAGAATAATGTATTACTAAGATATTAATTCAACTCCATGGAGTTGATCAGATTCAGGACATCACAAACAACTAGAACATGAGACTTTTTCACAAAGCAGAAACTACTGAGTGAAATGTTCATAACCCAGTCTTACACAGGACTCGTAAAACAACGGAGCGCTGGGTGGTTTTGATGTCATTATTCTCCAGCTGGTAGGTGGCAGTGCAGTTGAATCTGAGTTTATGATGAAGGTGAGTAGTGATGAAGTTCAGCTGAGAGGAGATGAAGCTGGTGTTTTGGTTCTGCTCCTGGCTGCTGTTTGTGGGCAGGGGGCTCCATGATAATGTGGGGGGCTGAGTGGGACACGGAGAAAAAGCAGAGCAGAACAAACTCACAGAGCTGCCCTCCAACATCCTCCGATCCTGCACCTCCATCTGATCTCTGTATAGACTCAATGTGGGTTTGGGGGGAGAGTCTGACACACAGATGAGGAGTGTTAGAGTGTCATATTACAGAAGCACCACAGCTATATTTTAAATTATTATTTTAAGGCCAAAGGAGGAATAATCACACTGTACCCCGACTTCACTGTATCACTCACCACTGACATTTATATAAACAGATGCAGTTGTGTAAGTGTATTTCAGTTCTCCTGACTCTATTCTGAAGTAATATCTCCCACTGTCACCCTTATTGACACTGTTGAAGATGGTGGTGCAGTCCTTCATTCTGAGATCTCCAGTTATTTCCCCTTTAATCTTGTTGTTTTCAGGTGTTGTGGAGTCAAAGACTGTCTGATCTTCCGTAGTGCCATCTTTACGCCACATTCCTTTAGGATCTCCCTGGAGGTCTGCATCAAACCTGCTGTGAATTGTAAAAGTGCAGGGTACGAAAACGCAGAGTCCTCTCACAGCTTCTACACTCTCTGGCAGAGTGATGCTGAAGGAATTGATGCACAAAGCAACTGGAACACACACACACAAACACACAAACACAAACACACACACACACACACACACACAACACACACACACACACAGAACCATATAAAAGCATTAATACACAAACACATCAGGCCAGACTCTGAATACTCAGAACATTTTTATATAAAGCAGAACTGCAACAACCTTAATAAACACTACAGAAAATACACAAATGAGCAAATCACACATTTCACATTAAATAGGTAGAAATATGTCATGAGTTACACACAGCATTCTGTAATAGCACACAAACCTCGAAATAGACAATAAAATGCTGCAATTTTCTCAGCAGACTTCATCTTTCTGATGAGGAAAAATCACCTGCAGAAGAGAGAAACAGGCAAACAAGTATGTTAATTAGTTTAATAAATTGTTTTTCTCAGTTGTTAACATGTTTTCAGTGATAGAATCTCCTCTCTACACCTTATGTGGAAACATTCAGCAAATTTTTTGTCTTCTCCTCGTACCTTTTAGGAGGAAAACAGAGAGTTTGTGAATAGTTAGTTGATGTGATGAATTCACTGTTCTACACAGCAAAAAATGGCATTTAGTAAGTGAAATTATCTGAACTTATCTATTATTTCTCTTGTTGTGATTGTTGTAAGCCTACTAAAAAACTATTAAGCTAAAAGCTTTTTAGCTTTTTAACATTTGTTTGTTTAAAGTAATTTTATCAAGTAAAAGTATCTCACAGTATTGGCAGATTGAAGAAACAAGATAAATATATAAAATTACTTAAAACAAGTAAAGAATGTCTAGAAACGAGTTAAATAGTCTTATAATAAGATTACAATAATTCATGCATGGGAAATATATATATATATATATATATATATATATATAAATATATATATATCTATATATATTTATATATATGTATAATATATATATATATAATATATATATATAATCCACTAATTTAAGATCATTTAATTTGCCAAAATAATATTGTTTGCAGTGTAACATTTAGATTGAGCAGAGTGTGAAATGCACTCTGTGTGTTGTGGCCTTAACCATAGTAAAGAAAAATCAGAAAAGAGATCCTCTTAATATCTCAGGAGTTTCTACTAGACGGCACTGAGATCAGATGAAAAGATTAAGGAAACTTTGGCTTAAGTCTCCAACAGCTCAGATATTTCTTCTGAGAGAAATGTGTCTTTTTTAATAGAGATCTCAATAAAGTCAAACATTGTGCTCAGATTTGCCAACATAATTACATCTTCATTTGCAACTAAACTCTCATCTCTCCTTTTTGTCTAATGCTATTTTCTGAAGCAAATTTAGGAGAATCGCCATAATGTCTCCTGGGTCATAAAAGAGCAACTGTTGAGCAATAAAATGTTCCTCTGGAGCTCTTCAGGTCAAGTCACTTTATTTGGCATTACAACTAGAGCCTGTAAGGAATAAATGTGCCAGTAACATTTGTAACATTGATAAGATTTGCCCATATAAACACATTCAGCATTGAAAGTAACTTAAGTAAGTAAGACAACAACTTAAAACCAGTAAAGCTTGTGATACATAACAATAGAAGTACAACAGCTTTAAAATAAAGAATAAAATAAGCTATCTGTGGAATGAATCAACTAATTAAATTACAATTTATTATTATTATTAGGTGCCATCAAGTCGATTCTGACTCCTGGCGACCATATCCTCTGTTTGGGTCTTTAGGTGTCTGAATGGCTTGTTTGTAATTCTTCTGGTCATCTTGTAGCTGTTCGTCCTCTGCTTTCATCTTCAACTCTTCCAAGCATAATGATCTTTCACAATGAATTGGTTCTTTTTGGAATATGTCCAAAAGACATAAAGAAAAATAAAACAGCTTCAGTTCGATTATCTGGGCTCTGAGTCACAGGTGAGGCTTGATTTGGTTGAGGATAAATTTGTTTGTGTTCTTTGCTATTTAAGAAACTCTCTAAAGTCTTCACCAACATTAAAGTTCAAAGCATCAATATTTTTTCTGTCATTCTTGTTTATTGTCCAACTTTCACATCTAAATTCAATGACAGAGAAGATCACAGCCTGGACAATTCCAATCTTTGTTTGTAAAGACAATTTGAAGATCTTTTCAAGCTCCTTCATTGTGCTCTGCCAAGTGCCAACCTGTGTTGTGTTTCTTCACAGCTGCAGCCGTTTGTTGATAATAACTGATCCAAGTAGAAAAAAGCTGCTCACCATTTCCACATCTTCTCTATCAATGGAAAAGTGAGCAGGTTCTCCTGTAGTCATATGTTTAGTCATCATTATATTGAGCTGAAATCTGGCTTTAGGATTCCTAACCTTTTTCACAGTGCGACCCTTTTTTAGGGTTAGAAATACTTCATGACCTCCTCTTTGCTAACTCACCTCCCTCCCCACACACATTAATATACACGTTAAAGAAATTACAGAAGAATAATCAAATAGTAATTCTACTCATGTACTGAGCCTGTATTCCTTAGCTAGCACTTCAACACAAACCACAAATCTGTAGCCTGACACTGAACATACGCTTCAAGTTCAGCAGTCAGTCAAGACCCCCCCTCATAAATGAGCTCAATCAATAGAAACTGATAATTGACATTAACCTGTCTACCATGGCCTTCAGGTGGAGCAGTTCAACAGAGGTTGATTGCACTCCTCTAAATAATGTCCTCTGTGTTTAATAAGGTGTGTATCTTGTAGCAACACTCTCACATCCCCCACCCTTCCCTCCCCAGGAACATCTGGTGTAGAGGTTCCTCTTTAGAATGGTCTGTATTCCCATTCTCTTTTAATGTAAGGCTCCAGTCTGCATTGAATGATCTTAATTTTACTGCCTTGTGATACTCAAGAAATTGTGCGATAGTGAGACTCTTTCTTCTCTCCTTTCTTTGGTATTTGGTATATCTGATGGTCATTAAGCTGTTTTCCAGATTTGTTGGCATAATTTGGTCAGCGCTTTGACAGAATCCTCTTCAGAATCTTGCATCTTGTCATTGCAGTGTTATCAGTTCCTGTGGATTTCTTTTCGGGCTATGATCTCAGGGCCTGTCTGACTTCATCTTCTAGCACTGAAGGTTCTTCTGCGTAGCCGACATCAACTAAAGTGTCTTGGCATTTCACGTCTTTTTTGTAGAAGTGTTCTGTGTATTCCTTCCATCTTTATTTGATGTTTGTTATAATTTGTCCTTGACCTTGTTTTTGATTGATTTGTTCCCATTTTCAGTATCTTTACAAATGTTGTAGTAAATCAGTATCATATCTGTTTTGGCTACCTAGTGGATTTATACTGAAAATGATCAAAATCAGTATTGTAGAGAAACTTGATTTCTTTGCAGTGGTAGTTATGGGACCCAGGGGTCACAGTGTCTAACACAAATACAGCCATTTCATTTACTGTCCAAAACCAACAGATCACCCACTCATGTAGTATGGACAATGTTTAACAGGGGTAAGTGAGGTAGTTTTACTCTTTGGGGAGTATTTTGCCTCACTATATCCTGCATGTATCTCTCCATTATAAAAGGAATTCTAAAGCCTATTACATTCTAAGTCGTATTCAGAAATGTTGTGGAAAGAAGTGCAAACCCGGCTGAGTTATTTTCAAGTTATAGGAGTGAGAATAGAAGCCTTGACCCAGCATCAGTATTTAAAGGTTAATTATAGTGAAATTCTGAAAAATCTGTGGAATTCCTCTTTAAAGTGTTGAGGCTGTTGGACTGTGCTTCAGTCCATGTAAACGTTTTACACCTTTATTTGTTTTAATACAATGTCAACAGTTTAAAGTTTCCCAAATTAAATCTGATTTTACTAGAAGACCAGAATCCTGCTTTACTGTAGCGTCTACCCTGCATTATCACACCATTGTACAGCTTCACAAATGAAATCTTCAAATGAAATCTTCATCAGTGTAATGTACAAAGCTAATTCAGCACCACTGCTACAGTGAGATTAAGAGGAGCTCCAGTGGTTCTTACCTCACAGGGTGGATGAGAAGCTGGTGGAATTACAGCTCTTTGGTACAGAGAGTGTAGAATCTGTAGTTGTTGAGTTCAGATTGTATGAAGTGTCCTGCTGTATCTCTGCTCTCTGTGGTGGGCTGGATTTAACTGTACTGTGTGACAAATCAGCTACCCACAACATGCTGACTACCAAAACACACACACACACACACACACACACACACACACACACACACACCACACACACACACACACTTCCACTTCCTCTCACATTCACCAAGCCTGAACGTGCAACACTATCAGCAACTTTTATTCCTCTAGTTCTATTCTTTATACTCTTAAAGGCCCATATCATGAAAAACTGACTTTCCTTTGCTTCTTTTGATAAAAGAGTTTGATACGGAGTATATATATATATATATATATATATAATATATATATAATATATATATATGCACAGCCTACAGCAGTGTAGCCCCTCTCATTTATGTGAAAGTTATAAGGAGCGGGCTGCTTTCTGAATTCTGTTTAACACAGGCAGGGCCGTGACTAGGATCAACATTTTTGTGAGGTACAGTTTGCAGAAATGTGACCTACTTCTCATAGTAAATAAAATAACTGCTGAACATGAGTGTTACACCGACCGAAGTTTCTCCTTTAGGTTTTTTTTTTTTGTTAACCAAATCATTGCTCCTGTTTACTCATCCATAACTGTTATGCACCTCTTCCTTTCATTTGTTCTTTCCCCATCACTCCATTCTTTATAAACTGCTATTACTGTTCCACAAACTGATTTGACTCCAGTTATCCTGCTTAGGTTTATTTAATTAATCATATAACTATTTATTTATATGTTTATTTTGAAAAAATAGCTGAAAATAAATATTGAAACCTACACTAAATCAAATGATAGTTTCAAATTGATTTGATTACATTTACCTCTCCTTCTCTCTCTGTCTCTCTCTCTCTCTCTCTCTCTCTCTCTCTCTCCTGCATCTGTCCTCACTGATTACAGT